GAATTATACCTATCTCTAATCATATTCCAGCTACTCTTGGAAATTCTTATGACATCTCTAAAACCTGCTTAGGACTTAGTACATTACAAAACCGGAGAGTGTTTCTAAAATGTGTTTTATATACAAATTCTTAAATAACTCATGTGACTGTCTGGACATTCTCAATTATATAAAATTCAATATGCCGCAATACGCAAACAGACTTGCTTCTTTATTTTACATTGATTACTGTGATCAATATTATGCCTTATATTCTCCATTAACTAGTTTGCTCCCCACTTGTAATTTGTATTCAACTGAAATGAAACTAATTTTTTTCTATGATTCCTTTTCGCCTGTTAAGCCATTGGCTTTGCCTTTACGAAAACAAAGCTAAACGTGGTTGGCGAAACTCGTCAGCAAATATTTTGTGTTTTCGGTGTTTCCATTGGTCGCTGTACCCGTAATGAAAGAAGTCTTGCCTGAATGCCAAACATTTCCGGGTCAGTGGTGGGTCTAAAAAACTAATAATTCGCGCCATAGCAAGGGCAGAATTAAACCACACATCCTTAAATCCATCTAATACTAGACATAAGTGCGCTGAAACATGGAAAATTCTTCAAAGACCTAGACCAAACACACATTAACAAGAATTGTATCCCGAAACAAGAGTTTTTGTTTACTATTCAAGACCAAGTAATTAATATCAAGAATAACAGAAAATATTGTTCTCGACTTTGTAAAGAAAAATCCGAAACGATTCAGCACACTTTAGTCCTATAATTTCGTAGCACAAATTGGCTACAAAGCTAGACCTCAATAATTGTTAGCATTTTTTTCTGAATTGTAAAAATTCTGTTATGAGCAACATGCACCCAAAAAAGAATTAAACTCATTACTCTGTGATCTACTGTATTATAAACGGTTTAATACTAAGAAACAAGGCAATAATAATTTCACACATCAAAAAAACTGCGAAATATTATTTTATGTCTTATGACTAGAATATGAAGATTATTCAGGATTATTATTATCCGTTTTTTTTTCTTTTTATTACAAGTGTTCCGATTCCACGTGCAGCTGCACCGAGTCCATTTCCCACAAGTATACCGGCTCCTGACAGTAGACCAGCCAACACGGGGCCGCCTGTTATTCCACCGACAGCTACCCCAACTACTCCTAAAATATTTGAACTCCATTTAGCAATATCTGCAGAAACGTCACCTAAACGCCTCATTTCAATTACAGTTTTGTTATTTTTATATATCTGGGAACATTCCTACAATTGCAATTTATTAAATTACTATATTATTTACATTAATAAAAAAAGTTTCTTACTTCCGTTAAATGTTTCTCAAATATGCTTCGTAATTCATCCTCGCAGTTCAACTTCTTTTTTTCAAATGTCACCAAAATTCCCTGCATCTTTTCCTCCGCTTCTGCTAAAGTTCTGCATTTTTTAACAAGTGTGGTGTATTCAACTATCAGTTCGTTGACAGACTTGCAAGGTATACGAAAATTACTATACACCTTACGAAGTTCCTTAAAAAAACTTTTGTTGCAATCGCTTTATACACAAGTTAGTGTCAAAGTTATTTGTTGTGAAAGATTATAAATTCCATATGATTCAAATGTTCGATATTAAAATAAATCATTACTAGCCATAGAATACCCTCCTGATTACTAGCTGACCCAGCCACGCGTTGCTGTAGCTAGTGTCCCTAGATTTAGAAAATCTAGGGACACTAGCTGTAGCTCAGTAGTTACGCTCTCTACCGGATGTCTACGCAACCTAGATGGCAAACGTTAGAGAGTTGTATCCATAAATTAACTCACTCCGCTATCTATTAGAAATTCAGACTTGACTGTCAAATCTGTGACACTTAAAAAGGAAGCTATTTGAAGTTATGTCAGCTGCAAGCAGACCGAATGCTCGCCCTCCTTCTTCTCTCTCTATCGTTCTTTTTTTTTCTCCCTAGTTTTCTCTCTCTCTCGCTCCCTCTCCCCCCCCCCCTTTTTTTTTTAGAGACTATTATATTGTTTTTTGTTCATTTAGTATTAAAATGTAAAGGTGACTGATAATAAAAATTGGTAATGTCATGTTTTTTTTACAACACTAATTCTGTTAAATGTACCTTAACGCAACTCATCTCTAAGGAGTTATAGTTACTATAACAATTTGAGACAAAATAATAGTACCGTTAGCTCCAGAAAAAACGGAAACTGTGAAAGTTAGCATGACAGATTACTGTGTGAATTTTCCTACTTTAAACGGGACTATTTTGAAATATGTAGGTTAGAACAGTAATGACATTACAAACTGTGTCAAAATAGTGACAAATATTTAACAGATCTGTCAAATTGACAAGTAAGAGACAGGTAAAATTCCATTCCCGTTTTTTCTGGAGCCAACTGTATATTATTCAATGAGCGCGTATTAATGGAGATTACTCACGAAGATGACTTTACACACGAGCCGAATGGCGAGTGTATAATTCATCTGAGTGAGTAAAATACTGTACTTTTTCTACAACAATTTAATAACCCATCAAATTTACAAACAATTTGTGAAGTTCGAGTTCGCAAGGCTCCCGTTGCCTTATTATCGAATCGCAATCGCGGTGGTTTGCCGCATCGCGATGTGCGGGCTCCCATGGTCTTGCAATTAATTAATCGCGTAGTTTGAGACTTCGAAAATAATGATTTGGCCACGCCCCCCGTGAGTAATAAATAATTACTCACTAGCAAGAACCAATAGGAAGCTTTCAGAATTATTACTCACTGGTATCGTCACCCGGTGGCCTTTGCCAACTAAAAACTGTTTAATAATTCATACATTATTCAACAGGAGTAGAAAAAATAATTGTTCAATTCAGTGTCAACTTAAACCTGCATGTAGGACCGCCCATGAAAAACAAAAATCTTTACCAATCGACTGTCGTACCCTACCGCCTGGGAAACAACTATTCGAAAACACACGATTGTGCAAAAATTCGCTTTATGTCCGACTGCATGATAATATAGTTGTTATGGACATATTTAGCGGCCGAAATTTGTTAGGTTATGGACTAGCCCACAATGATAAAGTAAAACGGCCACCTGTCAATATCATTAATTAATATGTATAAAATATAACCAATTTATTTATTTAATTGTTAATATTAATAACACTTTAGTGTTGTTCGAAATGCTCAGAGGTTCTTTTATTTTTAGTTCTTCTTTTTTGCAGTCCCTGGCACTGTCAATCGCAGAACAACCTGGCTGTCCCAAAATTTTTGTTGCCATATAAATTGTCTTGCTTTCCGATTTTTCCACGTATCCCTGCGCCATCCACCATGCCGCTTGATATCGCTCATATCAATCCCAAAATTTGACAAAAGACTAACAGATGTCCTGCAGAAGCAGTGACTAGTGAAGAAATCAGAATTAGGTAAACCCAAAAATTTGGCGACAATAAAGGGAACACTACCAGTTTTGTAGATTCCGACAGATTGACTTGTACATTTTTCTCTCTGTTGTGAAACGTTATTCTTGGTCTTAACACCATGTATTTTCTAGTTAGGAACAACAAGTCATTTTCCCCTGGAAGAATAAGAAAAGAACTTTCTTTTTAGACTAGCCGAACTAAAATGTATTTTTCTTGGTCTTAACACTAGACATTTATCTTGCTGATAAATAAATTCATTATTTAGAAACAACTGTTCCACTGATGGCAGCATCACATTTTTCAAAATACTTTCATAATTGTGAGCAGTAAATCTGTCGTCTATCCTCCATCACACTCCAAGTCCACGGAAGCTAAACCACCCCCACACGTTAACTGAAAAGCGGCTAGATTGATATGGTAAATTATTTGTGTACCGTTCATGAAACCTTGCATTTTCTGGTCGTCAGTACATATTATCTACTCCCAAAATTGCAAATCACGATTTATATAATTTAAGGCAAACAATAATCGTCATTGTTTGCGTTCTTCTGTAAGAAAATTTTTTTTTGACGGGAACACGATTTATAAGTTCTGATGCCCGAATTCTACGGAAAGCTGTTGGTTGAGGCCCGGGAATATCTGTTTCAGTAGCAGCTTGTCTCGCAGAGTGGAAAGGATTGGCTCTTAACTGATTTAAAAGAGCAGCATCTTCTTCGGCATTAGATATTCTAGCCCTACCTGAATTAGCTGTTCTTAATAATGGTCGGAATGACCGGTCCTGTTCCCAAGGTGTTTTGATGCTTAAAACCGTACTTTTGTTTAAGTTATGATCAGCTGCAACAGCTCGAATTGACCAACCGTCTTCCAATCTCGAAATAATTTGAACTTTCTCAAGAATACTCACATGAGCATGTTTAAAACTGTAGTTGAATACAAGGATGATATGGGCTAATTAATATTAGATTACTTTTTTTGTTTTCAGTAGTCTAAATAAATATGTTGTACCCTTTTTCATTGCATAGAATTGTAATTATGGACATCATTTTTCCACATTAAAATCGGCTTAGAAGGTCAAGCCGAATGATTAATTCTCCATAAATTATCAATTATTTATTAGTCTAAATAAGTTAATTGAATTCGTCCACAAACTCAAATTCTGGCTCATCCGAATCTGATCCCGCCAACTTTATAACCATGATGGAATATTATGCACAGGTGAGTTTCCCATTAACCTCTGCGAGTCTTCGCGAATCAGATATCACACTCCAAAAGATTTTTTTTTCCAAATGCTTGAAGTGCACGGTAGTATGGCTATCAGCCATAAATTGCGAAAAATCTTGTGATGCTATGTATTCATTATAAAAGTTTTTGCACTGCCCCTATCCCAGCCCCGTAGCATTGTACTGGCAATGGTACGGTGAAAGGCGAATCGTCATTTCTCCTAAACCCTAAATAATGTGACAAATATTTTTGGTATTTTAAAAATATCGCGCCACCTCTTAAAAGGCCGCCAACTGTTAAGTTTTATTGATTACAAGAATACATCGGAATGACAAAAAAAATTACTATTACATTCGTAGATAAACCGCCCTCGTCTATTAAAATCGGCTTGCCAATAAAGCCCCGGTTTATGTACTTAAATATCTTCCCTTAAGTGTTCCATATTAAATAATATAATTATTTACAGTGAAAAAAACTTACTTCATCTAGGCGCTGCTTGAAATGATCTCTTAATTCAGTCTCGAAGTACAAGTTCTCTTCAACGGTCTTCAAAATTCTCTGCCACTCTCCCTCGGCTTCTTCTAAAGTTCTAAATTCTTTAACGCGTTCGGAGTATTCCTCTATTAGTTGATTTACATGGTGGAAAAGTATGCAAAAATCGTTATACACCTTATCAAGTGACTAAAAAATACGTTTGTTATAGTCACTTTATAGAAAAGAATCAAAATTATTTCTTGTGAAAGATTATACATTGAGTGTGCATTTATATTTAACATAAATTACCTTTCTCCAAGTGTTAAATTATATAATCAAGTATTTACACTGAAAAAAACTTACTGCATTTAGGCGCTTCTTAAAATGATCTTTTAATTCCTTCTCGTCGTTCAAGTTCTCTTCTTCAAATGTCACCAAAATTCTCTGCCTCTCTGCCTGGGCTTCCTCTAAAGTTCTGTATTGTTTAACGCATTCCGAGTATTTGTTTTTTAGTTGATTTACATGATTGAAATATAGGCAAAAATTATCATAAACCTTATCAAGAAGCTAAAAATACGTTTACTGTAGTGGCTTTATACTCAACTGTAATTTGTTGTCAAAGAGCATACTGTATGCTTTTATGTTTAACGAAAATTTCCATTTTTCAAGGGTTTCGGCTTAGATTATATAATTATTTAGCCTGAAAATAACTTACTACATTTAGGCGCTGCTTAAAATGATCTCGTAATTCATTATCGCAGTTTAAGTTCTCTGCTTCAAATGTCTCCACAATTCTCTTCTTTTCTGTACCGGCTTGCTTCAAAGTTGTGCATTCTTCAACATGTTTTGAATATTCCTCTTTTCGTTGATTTACATGGTTGAAAAGTATGCGAAAATCATTATATCCGTTATCAAGTGGCTAAAAATATTTTTGTGTTTAAAATAAACTCCTTTTCTTCAATTCCAGATTAAATTATATAATTATTTACACTGAAAAAAACTTACTGTGTTTAGGCGTGTCTTAAAATGATTTCGTAATTCCTTATCGCAGTTCAAGATCTCTCCTTCAAATGTCACCAAAATGCTCTCAATCGATTTCTGTACGTCCTCTAAAGTTCTACATTCTTTCACAAGATTGAAGTATTTGTCTATTAATTGATTCACATAGTTCAAAAGTATGCGAAAATCGTCACATACCTTATCAAGTACCTAAAAATACTTTTGTTGCAGTAGCTTTATACACAAGTGTCAAAATTATTTATTGTGAAAGATTATATATTTCGTATGCTTTTATGTTTCACATAAATTCCCTTTTTTCAAGTGTCCGGGGTTGATTTATAACGGATGTTCACGTGAAAAATCACTCCTATTAGGTGTTGGACTTGACACAACCAGTATGTCTACTCTTATGACATCCGTTTGACTGAAACATAACATGTTATATGTTGTATGTTAGAAGAATAGACATGCCGTTTGTGTCAAATGAAGTTCCAACGCATACTGTGACTGTTTTTCCAATTGAACACCCATTATAAATATTTAAATTAAAAAAACTTACTGCTTTTAGGCGTTTCTTAAAATGATGTCGTAATTCTTTCTTACAGTTCAAATTCTCTCCCTCAATCGTCACCAAAATTATATGCATCTTTGCTTGGACTTCCTTCAAAGTTCTACATCCTTTAACGTGTTTGGAGTATTCCTCTATTAGTTGATTTACAAAATCGAAAAGTATATGAAAATCATTATACACCTCATTAAGTTGCTAAAAATACTTTCGTTATAGTCCTTTTATACACAAATGTAAAAATTATTTTTTGTGAAAGGTTATGCTACTATGTTTGAACTAAATTCTTTTGTTTTTTCAAGTGTTCCAGATTAACTTATGTAATATTTATACTGACAACTTACTGCATTTAACCGGCGCTTGAAATGATCTAGTAATTCCTTCCCACAATCTATGTTCTCGCCTTTTTCTTGAAATTCACCCAAAATTCCACTCATCATTTCCTGGGCTTGCTCTAAAGTTCGACATTTTTTGAGAGCTTTTGTGTATTCCTCTATTAACTGATTCATGAGATCGAAAAGTGTATAGAACTTTTTACACATTTTATCGAGCAGCTAAAAAGGGATTATCTTACAGCCGTTTTGTATACAGATATCAAAATTATTCGTTATGGAATATTATATATTCCGTCAACTTCTGGTTTAACATAAGTTTCCTTTTTCCAAATGTTAAAAATTAAATTATGTTATTATTTAAAAGAAACTTACTTTGGTTAACCGCTGCTTAAAACGATCCTGCAATTGCTCGTTGCAAACCGTATTCTTGGTTTTGTCTTGAAATTTCTCCAGAATTGTCTCCTTTGCTTTCGAGATCTGCTTTAAAGTTATACACTCCTTAACGTGTTCTATGTATTCCATTTTTAATTCATTCACGTGACCGAAAAGCGTGAGAAAATCTGTATACACCGTATCAAGCAGCTAAAAGGAGTTTTACACAAAGGTGTCAGAACTATCTGTTATGAAATTTATATACATAAATTGTAATAGTATATTAGATACCAAGAGACTAAAGTGCACGATTTAATTTATTATTACATCGCAATGAATTCTTGTGGTGTATATACTATTTTTTGCCCTCTTATGACTATAGATACTAAATTTTAAACTGAAAGAAAATATTCGATATAAGTATAAATAAGACGAGCCATTTTGAATTTTTCGATGTGTTTATATTACCACTTTAAGTTAAAAAGTACTTTGCTTGTCATGTAAACACTTTTTATCCCTAGGGTCAAAAAGAGCCGCTTTAGTCCCGATTTACAGGGACGAAAATATCAATTTTAGTCCCGGGAGGGCAAAAAATATTAAACTTACTCGTGTTAACCGTTGCTTAGATACTTTTTGTGTCCCCTTTAGGTAATTAAAATTTTTGACCATTTTCTGGAATTTCTTCAAAATTCGATTCTTTATCTCCTCAGCCTGCTCTAAAGTTGTACATTCTCGTACCTGCTCGATATATTCACTTCCTAGTTCATCTTCATGCTCTAAAATTGTGTGAAACTCATTGCATAGCGCATCAAGAAGCTAAAAAGAAGTTTTGATGATATTTAAACAGATCGAGACTATTTGTTGTGTTTTAACGCAGAAATTGACTTAAAATATTTACCTCTACAAGTTGTTGTTTAAAACTTCCTCGTATTTTTTTTGTGCCCAACTTCATCTCCCTTGCTTTTTCAAATTCCTTCAGAATTTCACTTTTCTCATTGTTAGCTTGTGTTCGATCTGTACAACTCCCTAAACGCTTCTTGTATTCTTCTACTTTTCCATTCACGAGATGTTGAAGAAAGATATTAGCAGTTGCCTAAAAATACAAAGTGACTATTGAAAAAGCAGGGACTTAAACGCGCACCATGTAAATTGATTCAATGCATAACTCATCTTTTTCGTTAATACATTTCCAGTAACCATTAATAAATCCAAGTAACTCTCCGAGCGTAACGAATTTATTATCAATCTTTTTCGGTACCAAATTCTCGGGCGTTAAAATATTTTCAACAAAGGTTTTCACATGATCGCGAAATTTTTCTTTAATATCTAAAAACTCGATTCAGAAAATAATTTCTCCGACGAACAAAAACCATAATTACCATTAAAATCGCCTTTAAATTCCCTTGCTTCAACTTTACTTCCAGGCTTTGGCATCAGAAAGCACTGAACTTTTTGAAAAGTGTCTCTAATAGTTTTTTGTATTTCACTTAGATTGGATTGTTGATGTGCTTTGAAAGTAAAAGATAATAATTTCTTGCCGCCGTCAAAACCGTAATCATATTCTTCAAAATTTACCCAATCTCGGACCAAAATGTGCAAATCTTGGAAAGGTTTCTTTTTGCTGTCGCTAAACATCGCCCCAAATCCCGCAAATAACTAAAAATAAATAAATAAATTCGCATAAGTAAAAATAAAAACTTTACTTGTAGAACTCCAAGCTGCTCTAAATCAAGTTTATTCTGTATGTTGTAAATGTGAACTGAGCTAATTAATGCACTAAGGGCAAAAATCTTAGTGCACTCAGCGTAAGAGGTTTGGTGATCAGAGGTTCCTTGAGTATCCATCAAAATTATAGCAATCTAAAACATAGAACCACATGTTCTTTTTTGTTAACCATAATGAAGGATTCTACTTTTTCGCCTTCTTTTGTTTTCGTTAAAAATATTTCAGGATATATAAGTATACCATCTGTAACTCTCTGCGGGCTTTTTTCCCATAAAAATCCATGAGTAAGGGTATCGCCAACATCCATCCATTCTTGTTCACTTTGACACTGAGAAATATACAAATTCAAGAAAAGCATCACATGTAAAAATATCCACAGTTTATTTTTTTAATAAACATAAAAATACCATTATAAGACGTTTTTGAGGTAAACATCATGTGGTAGCGAAATTAGTTTAATGCCAACTCTGATTCAAAAGGTTTTTGTTCGTACCACTTTAATCTCATCATAGAAAATAAGTCGAACGACTTTATACAGAACTTCCCTCTCTCCTAAAGTACAGAATGACAAATACAGCTTGCTCGAAAAATAATTCATGTAATTCATTATTTTTTTAAATCATTCTTTTTAAGCAATTTAAGAAAACAAGTATCTTATGTCATAAAATGTAAATAGTGTTTAACATGCAAAATTTTGAAATAACCGCATCAAATCATTCGTGACTATGATTAGACAAATTTCGATTACCGTTTTTTCATCTGCACGAAATTCCTGAAATACATATAAAATCTTACAACAATCGGTTGTGGTGGGTAGTCTCGGAAATTATCTATCTAATATCTGACACAGACGACAGAAAACTGACAGACGTCGAGAAAATGACAGTAGCTGTTCGCCAGATGAGATCTATTACAATATTACTTTAAATTTAAACCCAAGAAACAAAAATTAGAAAATATTTTTAAAAGTTGTTTTAATCGTACAATACTTCACCTTCTTCCTAAGACAATGCAAAAAGAAATTGAGAAGAAAAGATTTGCCGGTTCTGTAGCTTCCATTGACGGAAATTACGCAAACTTTGTAATCCTTGAACTTATCGTTTTTTAGTAACTCTAGTTGATCTTCGTAAAGTATCATTTTTCCCGTCTTTGTATCGATTTTGAATATTCGGATGGCATCTTGTCCGTTACTCTGAAAATAATCCAAAAAATCGTGGTGTGTTGATTTTGTAAATGTCTGATAAAGCTGTTTTAATTTAAGTCGGTCCCTGATTGGACGACTGTTATCAAAGATAATTTATTTGTGTAATCTTTGGACTTCTATTATTTTAAATCATAAGGACACCTCTTAATACTTACATTTTTTGCACGGATGGACACACTTTTAAATGAACGCTTTATAATAGCTGAACGTGAAGCCATTCTGAAGCACTTTATTTACATTTGCTCATTAAATTTATTAGTTACTGCAAGAAATACAGTACATGGGAACGACCTGACTATAATTTTAAATTTGTTGTACTATTTACATCTTGCATCGAATGTTGCTGTTGGTCTCTTTTCTTTCGGACATTCCAGCAACATAGAAATCAGACGCAATTATAAATACACTAGTTTCTTTAGAGGACGCTTCTCGTAAACTATTTTTTTACGCTCAAGAGATTCTTTTATCAGCTTTTAGTTATCTTTAAATTAAAGTATCATCGTATGATTCCACTGTTCAAGGAAGCAACTTTTCGGTAACGGTGCCATGTGAAAATACGCGTCAACTCTTCGTTTTAATGCCTGAGCAATATCTAAGGGCAGTTATGTTCGTTAAATACAATTTTTTTATGATACTACTTTGATGTTGAAGAAACCTGTTTTACTGAAACGAAAATGTGTTGTTTGTTATGGAATAATTTTAAAAACCAATTATTTTGACAAATTAAAACTCACTACTCTTAATTCCTACATCTGAAAAGTATAGACAGTCGCAATTTGGTAATGGAAGGAAATTTTTCCCATCACAGAATGGTTACTTTTGTTTTTATGATTTTTTTTGCAAAATTTTATAAAATTTATCTTCGGATATCATCAGGTATTTTAGATTGTCACAAAACTAGAACTGCAACAAATATGGCTTCTGTTATAGAACTAATTTAATTTCTAATCTACTCAAAGTTTCTTCAACTACTTTGTTCTATATCTTTTGATATTTTGGAATTACATTTTTGTCTAATCCCTGAGAAAAATGTATCCTCTTTTTATTAAAAAGTTTCTTGGGAATTTTTTTATGACTCCCTGTGTGATTGGTTTCTAAGAGAATTCAAAAGCCAGTTTGTCGTCTCGACCTGTTCATTTTTGTATTTTTGTTGTTGATAATGATTAGGCGAGTTGTAACTGAAGTTATACGATTTTCAAGGTAATGATAAAAAACCATCCGGAATTTCCAAATCAGATAAAAATCATAATTAAACAATTCCTAATTTTAAAAAAGGTCAGATTATTTATTGATACATGATTAAACAACAATAGCGAAGATAAAAATATCTATTAAAAATTCTGTTCGCAAATTAAACAAATGTAGGGACTGCTTCATGTAATTTTTGATAATTTTAGAACTTCCCCACAGTATTTAAAAACTGTGATAATCAAGTCTTCTTATGTTCTTTCATCACGGACGTATCAAGAGGTACCATAGAAATAATATTATATGGAAGTAACTTTGAGAGAGACGCGCGTTGTCAACACTGTGGGACAGAGATAGGACTCTCTTGGTGGCAAAACATTGACACGAAACTGCAGAGCACTGTGTTTCTGGAGGTTTCTTTCGTACTGTCGCATGGTGTTTGAAGGTGTATTTTTGCACATTTACGTTTTTTAGACTCAAGTTACCTTATTTAAATGTCTACAGTCTTCTTAAGTTGTATTTTATTGGACTATTGGTTAAACATCATGAAATCGTGTTGTGCGTATAATTGAATAGAACGTGCAAAGAAAGCAATCCTGTTTCATTTCATAGGTAATAATCACATACACAGACGAAGGATTTCGTAAATAATTAAAAAATTGTTAGATTCCCTAAACATTCCGTGTTACGAAAAAAAAGGATTATTGCTACAAAAAGAGGGAATTTTATATCTATTGATTTATTATTGTTTTAGTTATTTGTACGTGGATTTAGAAAATAGATTTTAGTAGAAAATTCCACACAATTTAATATGTTTAATTTAATTAGGCACCCTGTCACTTTTATCGAAAGTTTAATTATTTTTATCCTAAAAATTTCAGAATTACCAATGAACATACACAACAAGATTAGTTAACTTGTAGAAGGTTATTGTACTAACTGAATTCGTAATATATTGTAGATTCTCTATTCATTTCATTTTATTAAAAGACTATCTCCACCACTTAACATGATTTTTGTTGTTTCACATTACACATAATTTTAATGTAAACTGTAAAAATATAGTTTTCATTAACAGACGTTTGTTATAATTGATTGTTTGAACAAATTCGTAAGAAAACGTATTAATTCCCGTTTAAAAGAAGCGTTTCTTGCCACCCAGCACGTGATACGTGGTCACCCGTTCTTTCCCCACTGATGCATAACCGCTCTACCTATTTCTTTCTTATGTTGATTACACTCACTCGCGTATGGAAACGTATACAAGGCTCCATCCACTCCTTTATTAGATCAATGAGAGGTACTTACTTCAAGGCAAAATAAATATTTTATATATTATGTTACATAACTTTAATCAATGCTGATGTCATAAGTAAAAATCGAGATCTAGATTACACAATTTACACCATAGGCTCTTGGATGCTATAATTGTTATATTATTAGGACAATGCATATCATTACTTGGTGTCTGTACCCGTAACGATAGAAGCCTTTCCTGAGTGGTAATCATTTCCGGGTTAGTGTTAGTTCTAAAAAAAAATAATAATTTGCGCCATAACAAGGGCAGTCTTGAACTCCACATACCCTTAAATCTATCTAATACTAGATGTAAGTGGGCTGAAATAAAAACAACTGCACAGAAACTTCTTCAAAGACCTAGCCGAAACACACATCAACAAGAAAACGTGATTGATTTGGGTCAAAAAATCAAGCTTGTGCCCCGAAACAAAAGAGCTTTTGTTTTTGTTTTCTGTAATTTCGTAGCACAAATTGATTACAAAGCTAGACCGCAATAATTATTAGCATTTTTTTCTGCGTCGTAAAAATTCTCCAACTATGGGCAACATACACCCAAAAAAAATTAAACTCAATACTCTGTGATCTAATGTGTAGTAAACGGTTTAATAATATGTAAGATAATATAACAAATTTCACAAATTAAAAAAGCTGTGAAATATTATTTTATGTCTCATGACTAGAATACGAAGATTATTCAGGATTATTATTATCCCTGTTTTTTCCTTTAACTATGAGTGTTCCAATTCCACGTGCACCTGCACCGAGTCCATCTCCCACAGCTTTACCGGCTCCTGACAGTAAACTACCCAACGCGGGGCTGCCTCTTATTCCACCAAAAACTCCCCCAGCTGCTCCTAAAATGTTTGAAGTCCATTTACCAATACCTTCAGAAACATCATTGACATGGCTCATTTCAATTTCAGTTTTGTTATTTTCATATATCTGGGAACATTCCTACAATTGCAATTTATTAAAATACTATAACATATACATTAAAAAAAATTACTTACTTCCGTCAAATATTCCCCAAATATGTTTCGCAATTCATCCTCGCAGTTCAACTTCTTTTTTTCAAATGTCACCACAATTCCCTGCATCTTTTCCTCGGCATCTGCTAAAGTTCTACATTTTTTAACAAGCGTGGAGTATTCAACTATCAGTTCATTGACATAGACGCAAGGTATGCGAAAATTACTATACACCTTATGAAGTGCCTGAAAATACAAGTGTCAAGACTATTTGTTATGAAATAAGTACATTCCGTATAATTTTATTTAACATAAATTCCCTTTATGTCCGACTGCATGATAACATAATCGTTATGGAAATATTTTGCGGTTGCGATTTGTTACATTGCGCTAGATTAGCTGAGCACTCATTTCAACTGCAGAATTTGCCAAAAGACTAACAGATGTCATACGGAAAATTACAAAATGACAAACCATTTTCCCCTGGGAGAATGACAAAAGAATTCTCTTTTTTAGACTAGGCGAACTAAAAAATATTTGTCTTGCTCTTTTACAATGTTAACTGTTGAAAGAGACTAATTTCGTACATCTACAGAACTCTGGTAGACCAAAAAGAAGGATAACTTTGAAAATGGAGCTCTTTTGTAATTATTCCATATAATAAAATAAACTTCCTAACATAGAGTAACTCAGATAAAAAATAATGGTGGGAAAATTGGTAATATCTGTACCTTCTTTTAAATTAATTGTACTTCGCAACATAGAGTATTTCCTTCATAGACTAGACAGTTCCAAAGTAGCGAGTTCAGTATTCAGAAAAGTCAATGTAGTATCTTCTGTTGTTTTTTGGATTTTCTGTTTGTAGCAACCAGTTTTAATATGCGGCGTAAACTTCTTCGTTTAAATCTCTTTACTTTATTGGGAGGAGTGTTTCTTTTGTTTCCCTGGTTATTACTGTTATTTCCTCCATTATTTTTCACAAATAAAGAACAATTTCACCATTTTCAATACAACTTGCGAAAACAGTTTTTCGAAATAAATAAAAATTTACACAAATTTGTCACTTTTGGCATCCTTATAGAATGACTAGGTGTTTAATTTTTTTTTGCATTTTACATTTTTATAAAAGATATAATTGCTGCAGTGGGACATAAAGCTTTGTATGTATAATTCGTACATAAACCGACTTTATTGACCCGCTTACTTTATGGACTGAGTCGCTGCACTCTCTCGTCTATTAAAATCGGCTCGTCAATTATGCCCTGGTTTTTTTAAATATATATTTATTACATAAATACCTATTCTTCAAATGTTCCAGATAAATTATGTAATTATTTACAGTGAAAAAACTTACTTCATTTAGGCGCTGCTTAAAATGATCTCTTAATTCAATATCGCAGTTCAAGTTCTCTTCTTCCACAGTCTTCAAAATTCTCTGCCTCTCTCCTTCGGCTTCCTCTAAAGTTCTACATCCTTTAACGCGTTCGGAGTATTCCTCTACTAGTTGATTTACATGGTTGAAAAGTATACGAAAATCGTTATACACTTTATCAAGTGGCTAAAAATATTTTCGTTATAGTCACTTTATACAAAAAAGTCAAAATTATTTCTTATGAAAGATTATAATTGAGTGTGCGTTTATGTTGAACATAAATTCCCTTTCTTCAAGTGTTCTAGATTAAATTAAATTAGATTTAACTTGCTAATTAAAAAAAGTTGTTGACTTTGATGAGGTCTATAACTGATTAAAGTTAATGTACTTATTTCTAAGACACTCTGTATAATTATTTACACTGAAAAAACTTACTGCATTTAGGCGCTTCTTAAAATGATCTCCTAATTCCTTCTCGCCGTTCAAGTTCTCTTCTTCAAATGTCACCAAAATTCTCTGCCTCTCTACGTCGGCTTCCTCTAAAGTTCTGTATTTTTTAACGCATTCCGAGTATTCGTTTATTAGTTGATTTACATGATTGGAATGTAGACAAAAATCATCATAAACCTTATCAAGAAGCTAAAAATACTTTTGTTGTGAAAGATTATATATTCTGTATACTTTGATGTTTAACTTAAATTCTTATTTTTTAAGTGTTTTAGATTAAACTATATAAGGTAACTGAACTCAATATGGTCTAGTACCCAATATGGCATATTGGCTGTTTCTCATATGTTTCAAACGAAATGTGCTAGATCAGGACTGGGATATATTCTGGAAAGTTTTTATACCATATAAAAGGAATCAGTAAAGTAGTACACCGTTTCGTTTAGTTATTTGTGATGTTGATTTGACGAGTCAGTATGCGCTCTATTTTATCCCGGCAAGTTTTCTCTGGATAGTTTTAATCTCAATTAAGTTATCAATTTCATATTTCTATAATTGTGTAGCCCCTTTTTTCCGCTTCTAAATGATGTGCATTAGTTGTACTTTCTTAACAGCTTTTCAGTTGGGATTACTGATAACATGTTCGCTTGTGATGTTTAATCAATATGGCCTAGATGGGTTGTTGGCCTGTTGGGTACATGCTGCAGTTCCCGTTTGATTTTTTTGTAAATAAGGTGATTTAAATTACTATGAAGAAAAAGCAAACTCACGAAAGAAACAAGAAAATTCTTTTTGCGAGATGTACCAAGAAGATATTGTAAAAGATATGAGATTATGCTCCATATGTAAGAAATATATACGTACACGAGGAGTGCGTGGGTCTCACTAAAAATGATAATAGTATATTAAAGAACGAGTTTCATAAGGCAAATATTGAGGCACGAATCCAAGTTTATAGAACGAGCGGCGAAGCCGCGAGTTATATAAAGGATGAGTGCCTCAATGGCCTTATGAACGAGTTATTTATACTATTTTTTCTACCGCACACGTTTTTTCCCAAAATTTAATTGAAATTTGCATTTTTTTTAATCTGGGGACTTTTGTCGTGGTTGGTGATGAGTTGGTCTGACACTAACCACGAAATATTTGAGGTTCGAATTTTCACAACAACAATTGTAATTCGAATCAATTCGAGTTTTTGTAATTTAAAATTGGTTAAAATGTCTTGCGAAGAAGTTACGCGTCCGGAAACGTGGGAAATTTTAAGTTTAGATTTGCCACTGACATTCACCTGACATTTCTCGTCACTGCTACCAATCTTACCGATCTAAATTACACCAGATCTATTAAAGAACGCCTTTCCGCTATTAACGAACTGCTGTGACGTCATTTGCGTACGTTAATAGCTCTATTAGAAAACCAAAAAACGTGGGCGGTAGAAAAAGATATTTTTATTTCTCCTTATTGTGTGCTTTTTTTTTCGATTTTTTAAAGTAGGCCATATTGGTATCTAGTACTCAATTTGGCCTAAAGACACACTTTAACTAAACCGGGTACTGTTGGGCTCTATAATTTTAAAAATGTCTGAAATTTGAAAATTATATACAAAAATGTAATCTCATTCAACTCCCACCATTCCATTTCAAGTTCTTACAAAAATTAAAAACATTGTCAAAATTTAGGTAGGCCATATAGGGTCCAGTTACCTTAATTATTTACCCCCAAAGTAACTTACTGCATTTAGACGTTGCTTAAAATGATTTCGTAATTCATTATCACAGTTTAAATTCTCTTCTTCAAATGTCTCCAAAATTTTCTTCTTCTCTTTCTGGGCTTGCTTTAAAGTTCTGCATTCTTCAACATGTTTTGAATATTCCTCTTTTAGTTGATTTGCATGGTTGAAAAGTATGCGAAAATCATTATATCCGTTATCAAGTGGCTAAAAATATTTTTGTTACAGTCGCTTTATGATTGTACAAGTGTATTCCGCATGTTTTTGTGTTTAAAAATAAACTCCCTTTCTTCAATTCCAGATTAAATTACATAATTATTTACAATGTAAAAACTTACTGTACTTAGGCGCTTCTTCAACTGATTTCGTAATTCCTTATCGCAGTTCAAGGTCTCTTCTTCAAATGTCACCAAAATTCTCTGAATCTTTCCCTGGACGTCCTCTAAAGTTCTACATTCTTTCACAAGGTTGAAGTACTTGTCTGTTAGTTGATTTACATGGTTGAAAAGTATGCGAAAATCATCGCATAACTTATCAAGCGACTAAAAATACGTCTGTTGCAGTCGCTTTATGCACAAGTGTCAAAATTATTTATTGTAAAAGAGCATACATTTCGCTGTTACGTTTAACAAAAATTCCCTTTCTTCAAGTGTTTCAGGTTAAATTATAATGGATCTTCAATTGAAAAATCACTCCGAGTAGGCGTTGAAATTCCATTTGACACAAACGGCATGTCTACTCTTCTTAACATCCGTTTGACATAAACGTAACATGTTATATGCTATTATGTTATAAGAATAGGCATATCACTAGTGTTGAATGAAATTCCAACGACTACTGTGAGTGATTTTCCAATTGAACATCCATTATAAATATTTACACTGAAAAAACTTACTGCTTTTAGGCGCTTCTTAAAATGATGTCGTAATTCTTTCTCACAGTTCAAATTCTCTTCCTCAGTCGTCACCAAAATTATCTGTATCTCTGCCTGGGCTTCCTCCAAAGTTCTAAATCCTTTAACGCGTTCGGAGTATTCCTCTATTAGTTGATTTACATGATCGAAAAGTATATGAATTACACATTATACACCTTATCAAGTTGCTAAAAATACTTTCGTTATAGTCATTTTAAATACAATTGTGAAAATTATTTTTTGTGAAAGGTTATGCTTTTATGTTTGAACTAAATTCTATTTTTTCAAGTTTTTCAAGATTATCTTATAGGTATAATTATTTATACTGACAAAAACTTACTACACTTAACCGTCGCTTGAAATTATCAAGTAGTTCCTTCCCACAATGTATGTCCTCGCCTTTTTCTTGAAATTCACCCAAAATTTCACTCATCACTTCCTGGGCTTGCTTTAAAGTTCGACATTTTTTGACAGCTTTTGTGTATTTCTCTATTAACTGATTCATGAGATCAAAAAGTGTGTAAAACTTCTTACACATTTTATCGAGCAGCTAAAAGCCAGTTTTGTATACAGATATTAAAATTATTTGTTAACGAATATTATACATTCCATCTACTTCTTATTTAAATTAAGTTTCCTTTTTTTAAATGTTAAAAATTAAATTATGTTATTATTTAAAAAACTTACTTTGGTTAACCGCTGCTTAAAACAGTCTCGCAATTGTTCGTTGCAATCCATGTTTTTGGTATTGTACAGAAATTTCTTCAGAATTGTCTCCTTTACTTTCGAGGTCTGCTTTAAAGTTATACATTCCTTAACGTGTTCTATGTATTCCATTTTTAATACAATCACATGGTCGAAAAGCATGAGAAAATCTGTATACACCTTATCAAGCAGCTAAAAGGAGTTTTATACACAGGTGTCAAAACTATCTGTAATGTAATTTATATACATAAATTATAAAATATTATAACTTACTCCTGTTAACTGTTGCTTAGGTACTTCTTGTGCCCCGTTTAGGTAGTTAAAACTTTTGAGCATTTTCAGGAATTTCTTCAAAATTCGATGCTTTATCTTTTCGGCCTGCTCTAAAGTTGAACATTCTTGTAGCTGCTCGATATATTCGTTTCCTAGTTCATCTTCATAGTCTAAAATTGTGTGAAACTCATTGAATAGTGCATCAAGCAGCTAAAAAGAAATTTTGATATCATTTTAAACATATCTCGAAACTATTTGTTGGGTTTTAACGCAGAAATTGGCTTGAAATTTTATTGAAAAATATTTACCTCTACAAGTTTTTGTTTAAAACTTCCTCGCAATTTTTTTGTGCCCAACTTCATCTCCCTTGCCTTTTCAAATTCTTTCAGAATTTTACTTTCCTCATTTTCAGCTTGTGTTCGATCTGTACAGCTGCCTAAACGCTTCTTGTATTCGTCTACCTTTCTATTCACGAGATATCGAAGAGAAATCTCAGCAGTTGCCTAAAAATACCCAATCACTATTGAAAAAGCACTGGTTTCAAACGTAAACCATGTAAATTGATTCAATGCATAACTTTTCATTTTCATTAATACATCTCCGGTAACCATCAATAAATCTAAATAGCTCCTCGACCGTAACGAATTTATTATTGATTTTTTTCGGTACCAAATTCTTAGAGGTTAAAAGTTTTTCAACAAAGGTTTTCACATGATTGCGAAATATTTTCCTAATATCTAAAAAATCGGTTCAGAAAAAATTTCTCCGACAAACGAAAACAAGAATTACCATTAAAATTGCCTTTAAATCCCTTTGTCTCAACTTGATTTCCAGGCTTTGGCATCAAAAAGCACTGGACTTTCTCAAAATTATCTTTAATAGTTTTTTGTATTACACTTAGGTTGGATTGTTGATGTGCTTTGAAGGTAGAAGTTAATAATTCCTTGCCGCCCTCAAAACCAAAATCATATTCTTCAAAATTTACCCAATCTCGAACCAGAATGTACAAATCTTGGAAAGGTTTCTTTTCGTTGTCGCTAAACATCGCTCCATATCCCGCAAATAACTAAAAATAAATAAATAAATTCGCGCAAGAAAAAATAAACGCTTTACTTGTAGAACTCCAAGCTGCTCTAAATCAAGTTTATTCTGGATGTTGTAAATGTGAACTGAGCTAATTAATGCACTAAGGGCAAAAATCTTAGTGCACTCAGCGTAAGAGGTTTGATGATCAGACGTTCCTTGAGTATCCATCAAAATTATAGCGATCTAAAACATAGAACCACATATTCTTTTTTGTTAACCATAATGAAGGATTCTACTTTTTCGCCTTCTTTTGTTTTCGTTAAAAATATTTCGGGATATATAAGTATACCATCTGTAACTCTCTGCGCACTTTTTTCCCATAAAAATCCACGAGTCAGGGTGTCGTTAACATCCATCCATTCTCCTTGTACACTTTGGCACTGAGAAATATACAAATTCAAGAAAAGCACTAGATGTAAAAAAATCCACAATTTAATTTTTTAATAGACAAAACAATACGATAGTAAGATAGACGCTTTTGAGGTAAACATCAAGTGGTTGCAAAATTAGTTGAATTCCAACATTGATTCAGAAGATTTTTGATCGTACCACTTTAATTTCACTGGATCATAGAAAATTGCTCTAACGACTTTACACAGAATTTCTCGCGCTCCTGAAGTACATTCTAACAAACACAATTTCTTCGAAAACTAAGTTATTTAGTTCATATTTTTTTTAAGTCGTCCTGTATAAGCAATTTAAAAATTTGGCTCATGAAACCAACCCAAACACAACTTCACAAATATGTGATTTTATAAAATGTAAATAGCATATAGCATGCAAAATTTTGAAATAACGTTATTAAATCATTGGTGGCTATGATTAGACAAATTTCGACTACATTACACGATATTCCTAAAATACATATAAAAATTTGACAACAATCGGTTGGGTAGTTTCGGAGATTATCTATCTAATAATACAGACAACAAAAGACAGACATCAGACAGAAACGAGAGACTTATTTCAAGAAAGATCGAGAAAATATGAAAGTAACTGTTCGCCAAACGGACTCTCATACAATACTACTTTAATTAAACCCGAAAAACAAAAATTAGAAAATATTTTTAAAAGGTGTTTTAATGAAACAATACTTCACCTTCTTCTTAAGACAATGCAGAAAGAAATTGAGAAGAAAAGATTTGCCGGTTCTGTAGCTTCCATTGACTGAAATGACGCAAACTTTGTAATCCTTGAACTTATCGCTTTTTAGTAACTGCAGTTGATCTTCGTAAAGTATCATTTTTCCAGTCTTTGTATCGATTTTGAATATTCGGATGGCATCTTGTTGATTACTCTGAAAAAATCCAAAAAATCGTGCTGTGTTGATTTTGTAAAGATCTGATAGAGCTGTTTTAATTGGACGATTGTAATCAAAGATAATATATCTACGTAATCTTTATACTTCTATTATACGATATCTCTCAATACTTACTTTTTTTGGAACGATGGACACACTTTTAAATGAACACTTTATAGTACCTGAACTTGAAGCCATTCTGAAGCACTTTATTTAGATTTGCTCATTAAATGTAGTTACTGCAAGAAATGCAGTACATGAGAACAATCTGACTTTAATTTTAAATTTGTTTCATTGTTTACAACTCGCACCGAATACTGGCTGCTGGTGTCTTTTCTTTCGCGCATTTCCACAACAAGGAAATCGGGCGCAGTTATGTATACACTGGTTTCTTTAGAGAAGGCATCTCGTGAACTATTTTTTTACGCTCGAGAATTCATTTTATCAGTTTTTGTTATCTTTAATAGTTATTTATGTACCAAGTCAGTAAAGTGATTCTTTATCTTTTTTATGAGATTATGAGCCGAGTGAGCAAAGCGAGCGAGGCGAGTAACAGGCGAGTTCGATGAAAATCCTTTACTGACTTGGTGCATACAAATTTGTATCGCCAACCTTTAAAATTGATAATTAAAAATAATGGAAATATTATGACTTACTACATTTTATTATAACAAAGTAAGCAGATAATAATAATGAACACAAAAGAAATCTAAGACTTTCATCTTGTGAAAGAGTTTTAGACTTTTTTGGAATATAATTTCTTCTTTTTGTGTTAAAAAAACCGTAAGTTTCTTGTATTTACTAATGTCGACATTTTTTGGTGAAAGGGTTGCTTCCACCTGTAACGAAGCGAATTTTCGCGGGCCGGAAACCGTGACGCGCACCGCGAGAGCCGGGGATAAAGCCGCGATCGCCGCGCCGCCGCGGCGGAAGAGGATTCTTACCTGAAGTCTTCATGAGAGAAGTGCTGTGCTTGAGGTGTGAGTTTTTTGGAAGTGTGAAGTTTCTAACTGCAGTTCGACCCTTCGACCTCCGTAAGTAGCTTTTGGGTCGTCTGCCCGTTTTTGTACCGGCTTTGGAATCGCCGCCCCCGAGCGTAAAACCGTATCACCGTCACCGGTTTTTTTTTTGTGATCGCCGCCACAAGTCGAAACCGTCGTGCACGCGTCGTTACGGCCACCGCGCTCCGCTCCCGGGTCGCCGTACCGTCCTCGCGCGATTTCCAGCATCAAGGTCGCTGCCCCCAAGTCCAGGAGGAACCCGTCCTGAAGGAAGTCGCCGCCCAGGAGGATTGACCGTGCCGGACGTTTAATTCTTTTTGTTTAAATTTGTTGAAGTTAATTAAGACTTAGCCGTAAGATTATGATTTTAGCCGTGTAGCTGGTGGCAGGGAATAAACCCTATTTATTGTTTAAATCCTTGCCATTTTATTTTTATTCTTGTGTTTTCGCGGGCGCTCACTTCATGATATCCGTGTCTCCGAGCGACCGCCGCTCCTGACCGAAGGCGCCACCCCCGGCGGCGTGAAGGTCGCCGCATAAGCTAGGTCGGCCAGACGTGTTTGTTATATCAGCGACACTAGTGGGCCCTAAGCTTGGCACCCAGGTACGCCGCCACCACACGTTATCGGCGAGATTCCGGACCGTCACTGTTCGTCCCAACCGGAATTTCGTCGCACACCATGAAATAATACGATCAAATTGAAGAAGGAGAGCATTTTTTAGATAAATCGGAAAAAATACGCCAGTAAAACGTTTTCACTGTACAGGGTGTTTTTGAAATACGTTACCAAAAATTAATGAAGGTCTTTGGCATCCTTAAGGAATCGAATTGAGTAAGTCTCAATTTTTTTAATGATGAAAAAAATCACCTCTAACCACCTGCTTAGAACACCACTGATGAAAATATCCACGTAAATTGATTGCATTTAATTTGAATACAAACCTAGCAACGAATTTAAAATTATTTTGAATCAAAATGCCGTCGTCTTCGTTGATTCATTATTAGTAGTGAATCAACGAAGACTACGCAAAATGCATAGTAAGTAAAAGTAAAGTCAGGTTTAACAAGCCGAAAATCCTTGGATTTTGAAAAGTAATCTTGCCTTTTAAATTAAGATTGAATAATTACAGCAGCGAGTAGTGAAACGAAAACGATTTATTTTTTATAGAAATTGCTCAAAATGCCGACCATCATTCGCAATGCATGCCCGAGCTCGACGAACTAATGATTCTTGCGCTCTTCATATCATGTCTGGATTTACTCTGATAGTAGCCGCAACATCATGAATCCTATTTGTCAATTCTTCAGTGGAATTAATAGGTGCCGCATAGACTAATTGCTTCATATGTCCCCATAAAAAATAATCACAACAGTTTAGATCTGGTGACCTAGAAGGCTACTGTACTACTGGACCGTTTCTTCCTATCCATTTTCTTGGAAATGTTTGATTTAACCATTCCCGCACGTCATGTGTATAGTGGGCAGGGGCTCCATCATGTAAATACCACATATTCCTCCGGCTAGCTAAAGGTACATCCCTAAAATATTTTCCAACGTATTGTTCAAAAGATTAAGATATGCAGCGTCAGTTAACCGTGGAGGTAAAACATATGGACCTATCAAATGATGTTCTACCATACCTGCCCACACGTTGATTTACGCTAAATCGTTGTTGAAAATGACCCATGATTTTCATGAGGGTTTTCATCACATCAAACGTTGTGTTATGATCATTTAATAACCCGTCTCTCGTAAATGTTGTTTCATCCGTCGACAGCAAGTTTCCAATAAACTGTTGACCTTCATCATTTTTTTGTAATAACCACTCACAGAACCTAATCCGACGAGGTAAATCTGCTTCTTTGAAAGCTTGTACTCGTTGCAAATGATACGGATGGAGTCCTTGCTCTCTTAATGTACGCCAAACGACAAATGGGGAAACACCAACTCTGTAGGACAGCCTTCTGACACTGATACTTGGGTTTTCTTCTACCATATTTAAGATCTCAGGTTCAGCAGCTAATGTCCTTCTAGTTCTCTGTCGGCCACGATTTGTCATTTGGGGACGATATTCACCGTTGTCGCTAAGATGCTGAACGGTAGCGGTAAATGTGTGATGATCGGGCACAATTCGTCCACGAAAATGTGTCCCTATAAAGACGTTATGCTTCACGAGCGTTTCCAAAGGCCCTTCCATACAGTAGGACCCATAGAAATAATATTATATGTCCGGTAAGCGGTCCAGAAAATTAAGTCTGGAACGGCTTACCGGAAATCTCGATTGCGGGCCCAGAAAACTCTCGCAGCAGCGTTCTGGATCTATCGAAAGGCACACATAGGTTTAAATAGAGGGAACGAAAGAGCATCTAGTTAGTTGAGTCAAGAGCGTCCAATGAAATTCACCGGAATAATGTTTGTACATAATCGCTGCAATAGTTATTAGTCGTGTAATGCGAATTATTAGGAAATATATTGTTGAGTTTTACGATACCGATTTTACTCGGCCGCGCAACATGACACTGGTGTCAGAAGTGAGATTTGAAATTAATAACTGGTTTTACGACGACTTCCGGTCAGATTGAACAAGAATTCTGAGGAATTTGTGCCTGTCGAGACGAGAGCTCAAACTGCGAAAATGGAGGAAAAGATCATGGCCATGCTTGCAGAAATGGGCGCAAGAATGAAAAAAATGGGCGCAAACATGGAAGAAATGAACCAAAAAATGGATGCAAGAAGCTAACAAATGAACGCGAAAATGGAAAAAATGGACGAGAAAATGGAAGCAAGAAAAAAGAAATGTATACAAGATCACGTGGAGAGTAAAATGAAGAAATTTGAACACATAATGAAAAATGCAGCAACCACTGGTTCATATATAGAGAAAGAAGAAAACAACATGACAGGGAAGCTGCTAGAAAAATTGTTGGAACAAATAGATGGCCTTTTTCGACGACTGAAGAATGATGTATCTCGTAAGCAAAGCATGGAATACTATAGGGATGGGCGCCAGGCACATCTCAAACGTGACTGTCGTGCTCGCTTACCAGCTCCAAGAAAAAGCACACAACAGATATCTCAACGAGATGTAAAAAGAGCCAGTACTCTGGGGAATGGGTTCACTGGTGAGAATAATGCCGCCCGCGAAGTGAAAATAAGAAGTTTCACCAGAGGTAGTGGTTCAACTATACCGGGGAAGATTTATGAAAATCCACCAGCAATCACCATCGATACTGGTGCTGAGGTATCAATTGTACGTCAAGGACTCGTGAGAGCTGAATATGTAGAACCTCAGTTAAGAATAAGACATAGGGCTCTCGTGGCTAGCATGGAAGATGACTTCATTTTGGGAATGGATTTGATTAGCCGGCATGGATTGACAATTGATGCAGTGAAGGAAGTCCTACCTCTTGAAAATGAAGAGTTCAAGCTGAATCACCGTTGTATTAAAGCGAAGCCTGCAAGATTGATCGCTTATCAGAACTGCAAACACTGCGATAAAGTTGAGCAGCCGAAAGCACAGTTCAACCACAGGAAGAAAGCAGTCGTGGAAGATGATGAATGAACTACAGCTCGGTGTAGAAAGGACCAGGACGAAGACAGGGATATTGGGCCGCTCCTCAGATGGAAAGAAGACGGGATGGACCGGCCTGGTAGGTCGGAAATAACAGACGAGTCATCCTGCTTCAAGGCGTTATGAGCTCAGTGGGACTCCCATCGTGTCGAGAATGAATTGTTTAAGCGAGCTTGGGAGAGTCCAGATGGGAAACATACCATCATGCAGTTGGTGGTTCCGGCCATTACAACCAAGGAAGTACTTCGAAAAATAACCAACGTTGGTTCTGGTGCTCATTTTGGAATCAACAAGACGCTTTCCAAAATTAGGGAGAGTCTCTACTGGGTCCATTACCGGCAAGACGTCGAGAGCTGGTGCAAGAATTGTAGGACCTGTGCAGCGGTTAAAAGACCTAAGAGGGCCGATGCAACCACAAAACGTCGGCCCGCCTTTTGAAAGAACTGCAGGAGAAGTAGCGGATCCACTCCCAATACCCGAAGAAAGGAACAAGGACACGAAGAAGGTCAAAGGTTCCGGGGATGGCTTACAGAAGAAGCTGTCGAGCGTTTAAAAAATGCTGCGCACCAACAGGATAGAACGACGACTGGTAGAATGAAGAGACGTTATGACCTTCGGGACAACTTAATAGGGTTCCAGGCGGGAGATTTGGTTTGGCTTTATAACCCCCGAAGAAGGAATGGTTGTTGCCCGAAGTTGTCGTTAGACTGGGAAGGTCCTTATACTGTTGTGACGAGGATCAACGATGTCGTCTACAGGACTCGACGACGGCCGAAGAGAAAAATGAAGATTATTCACTTACGCTGCCTCATGAAGTACAACAGCAGCGTCGTTGACGTTTC